ACACACACACACACACACACACACACACACACACACACACACACACACACACACACAGAGGGGCATGCTCAGCTTGTGGAATAACAGCAGCTCATTCTGCCTGGATTTATGGTGTTTTTAATTCACAAACAGCTCTGTTTACTTTTTTAAAAGTTACATTACATTAGCTCGTAGCTGCACTGCTGATCAGCGCTAGCAGGCACGGAGCCGCTGACTCCCGGTCACACGCGGGGTCTGTGTTGGTGATTCTTGCTGTATCAGAGTAATTATTGATAAGGTAACCATGCTGTAGCTTCACCTGTCGTGTTGAAGGAAATTTTGTAACTGATTAATTGAATATTAGATTTAGTTTTGYATTTTATACTTTCTGATCATTTCAGCCTGTRAYGTTAAAACAGACAAAKAGTTGGTGTGTTATCATGCATGTGTTCTTTCTTTTAGTCTGAACARGAATGAGTTACGTTCTGACGTCTGACGTAAAAGGTAACACCTCCAGAGGTGTAACCAGGAACAGATGAACATTATAAGCTCAATTCATTTTTATAGTAGAAGTTGTCAGTGTATTGAAGAGTCTCTGATCAGAGCAGAGTTGCTCTGTTTTGTTTGGGTTTTCTTGATATGAGCCCAAGGCCTTACTGAGGCCTGTGTGCTGTATGCTGTACTGTGAACCTGATTGGAGTCAGAAGATTGACGATAAAGTTTTAAGAAGAAATCCAGCTGATTCCTGTTTATTCAGACACACCATTTGAACAATGCATATTTTTCCAACAGTGTCTTCCTTGAAAGAAAAAAAAGGAGCTTGCAAAGATGTTGCATCAGACAGTTTTCATTGCGTGTCACATCACACACACATACATGCCTTGCTATCTTTGTGAGGACTACACAGACGGCGTTCACAGCCTCGCTCTGTGCACAAGAACCTGCAGTGTTGGTTTTTCAAAATAAAGTCTATCTTAACTTTTCATTGATGTTTAAATAAGGTTTCAAAGTCTGATTATGGTTAGTATAAGAGCGCACATATAGTGTTGTTTTAGCCTGATATAGGCCTATTATTTAAAAAAAGAAAATAAAAAAACTTTATTCTGAAAGTGTGGAGGCTATGATTTTTGCAGTAACCCTGTCTAAGGAAACTCAAACAGGTCATGACGTTTCAGGTTACCCAAAACAAACTTCAACCTGGCTCACACAGCAAGATAATTGTGCCAATTTTTGACCTGATTTTCCTCTTCTGACAACCTTAAGGAAACCCTGATTATCATGATGGCTCTAAAGATAATCTTGATCTTGAAGAGTGATCTCAGGACTGCTCCAATCTCAAGTGGGTGATGTTCTACATGTTGGATTGTCTTGCCCGATATCCCAAGATAAACGGGCATGCAGCCTGTTGAATGTGACATTGAACTTAAAAAGTTTTGCGAGATTTCCTGTCTGACATCTGAATGTGAATTTGTTCATGCGTGGTGTTTTCTTTTGCTGTGTGGTTTTACACCACACACTGTAGAACCAAACCTGTTAAAGCTATGTTTTTTTAAATGTCCTGTGTGTGTGTGTGTGTGTGTGTGTG